GGTCTGAGTGCCAATTAACTGCTCTCTTTTTTCTGACAACTTTGATAACAAGTCAAAAAAGCAGCAGGAACTGCTGTTTGGCTGCTCTCTTCGTCCTTCATGGTTGCTCAGCCACAGATACTCCTCTGCACACAAAGAAATACCACGATGGTATGAACAGTCATTGGTATCTGGATTAACGTTGGATGTGGAATATTTCCAGGAGACCTCAATGGGTTGTCTTGAGATACAAAAAGCCTTCCAGGCGTAGAAGGCAGGCTAGGGATAGATTAATATTGTCAGTTCACATTAAGCATATTGGTGAGGACTTAAAAGATGATCAAGGGCACTTTCTCAGCATGAAAACAGTGTTTGTACCTACCCTGTCCTGGGGCAGCAGGAGATGGTTTAATGCAAGCATAGGCTACAGAAAATGTGTCATGTGAACACTACCAGAGTACAGAGAAATGTGTTCTCTGTAATCGAGTATGTCTTTCAGCAGGCAGTTGTAGTTCCAATCGACGTAACCTTTGGAGGCTTCATGTTAAATCTTGGCAGAATTGCCTGTGGACTGAGTCATCTTGGGTGGTGATAAACCTGTGTGTGCAAGGTATTTATTAGCTTAGATAGAAGGTCCTTGTCTCTGTATTGAATTTGTCTGAAATATCTGACTAGCTTGGGTGTTGTCTCTGATTTCTCCAGCTAGATCTCTCCTGAATGCCAGAACCACGATTGAAGCACTTCTGCCGTTTAACTGACCATCTAATTTACCCTGTAATTGTATAAGAGGGTATTTAAGACTGTCTCTTTAGAGCAGAGGTATTCACTTTATCTATCTGCTACATTGAAGAACAGATGTTTCTACTGTGTTACTGAAATAACATCTTTGGAAATTGAAGATTGCTATTTTCTAATACAGAAGATGAAGGAAAATCTAAGTTATGAATGATAAAAGGGGAGGAGTGAAACGAATTGCACTGCAGCTTTGCAGAAGTTGTTTTTGATAAAATCTGACTCATGGTAGTGGTAAATAGTTAACAACATTAACAGCATGACAGAAGTGGTGTTGTCTTTTGCACCTGCGTAGCTAAATATTTCACTTATGCTTTGACATGCTGATTCTGTATTTTAGAGGACTGTCTTGTGTTTTATTGCAGCTTCAGAGTCCTTTAAATTTCCTTAGGAATTTGGATTTAAATGTTTAATTTTTTTCCCCCAGTTTTTCCACAGTTCATTATTTCTTTACTTTTAATTGCCACATCAGGTTTCCAGTCAAGTTACTTGCACTTCCAGAAACATCTGTGTGGAAGGTCATTTTTTTCTGAATATATGTTTTAAGTGTTTTTTGGTTTATTTTTTTCTTTTGAGTATGAAGACTGGTACATGCTGCTAGCAAGCTTAGCAAAATGGATGAGTAGGATTTTAGTACTTAAATAAGATCAAGTGACATGAAGGAAAAAGACTTAACTTGCCACCCACACTCAAGGCCATATCCTGTGTGACCCCCAAGTGAAGACACAGAAAATACTAACCTCAGTAAAGAAGACCAGATCTCATTAAAATAAACTGCTGTTGTTTAAGAACTCTTTTTTTATACCATCACGGAAGAAAACTGAATTATTATGGAAACTTTATATAGCAGCAGGGAAGAAAAGTAAACTGCTGCCTTAAAAGAAGCAGAAACATTAGCTGAGATGAGAATCAGTTACACAGTGCACATGATGTTTTTTTCTCTCTCTTGCAGAGCAGTGTGAGTGTAGATTAGTAAATGCTTATGCTGCAGGTAAGGCCCAAATAAATATTTTTACTTTTGTATTTTGAGACAGTAGTCACATATTCTTCTGATAAATTTTCGTGTATTTTCTTGAATGGTCTGGCAATACAGTTGCTATATTGGAAGGTTTCACCACATCTCATGTTATTCGTTTTCCTTAAAACCCTGACCTCCAGTTGAAGTCTGTCACATGAGAATCTTAACTTCAAAGTAATTTTCTTTTTGAAGGAAATATCTAACTTGGGTGGTTTCAGATAAGCACAAACTTCCAGACATAAACCCCAAAGATTCAAAACAAAACAAAAAAAACAAAGAAAAAAAAACCCAACCAAGAGAAAAATAAAAAGGGTACAAAATGTTCTTTAAAACAAAATAATGGTATTTTACAGTATTTTGAACCAAACAGCTGCTTTGTTTATTTAAAAACATTATTTTGAAAAAGTTGGGGGCTATGCATTGGTAGCTCATGGGCATTGCTCGTGTCATTATGCATACAGGTTTAGCTACATGTGGGATACCTCATTCAGCATTTCTTTTTTAGCTCTAGAGACCTTTCCAGCATTTCCTGCAGACTATTTTTTCATTACAAATAGATAAAGAATTCTTAGTGAGTACTTCATAGCATAGGATGGTTTGTTCGCTCCTATACAGAGTTCCCTTACCAGCAGCAAAAATCAAAGGTAAAAAATGACTTTGCATTTATGAAAATGCTGTTGAGGGAATCAAAACCATCCTGTTGAAAACTGCCTAGCAATCTAAACATGCATGGTTACAGTTAAGAGAGATATAAAAAAAGATGATTATTTCATTTAATAACTCTTATTTATATAGAATGTGAAAATAAATTATGAGAAGTATGTAATTCTGGATTTGACAAAAGACAAAATAATATGAGGTTTTTGCCGTAGTACAGAGCTTTAGATTGGGAGGTTTGGGTAAAACCATCAGTCCCATATCCTGGTCAAGTTCTGATCTCTGGCTACCTGAATCTCCGTCCAGCAATATGCTTTCCAACATAGTATCCAAATACATTGAGTAACTGTGTTTCTTAACAATTTAATATTTGCAAGTCAATTGTTAATCTAGATAGGTTTTTTCTTTGTTTTGGGGTTTTTTGATGAGATGCATCGTGTCTCCTTTTTCTCCTAAAAGATGCTGTGTAAATATGAGGACGTGAGACTATTGACAGCCTTAGGCATTGGATACATCCACATGTACTGTGTAACTGGAGGTAGCTACCCGAGAGAGGAAGGCTGACCCTGTGTGAAGGGCATGCAAACAAACAGGTTGTGTTGTACTCGTTGTTTGATCTCTTTTCATAGGTAGGCAGGGAGAGCCAATTTGTGATAAACAAACCTTCTACCCTGTTGCAGAACATGCTGGGTTTTGACATCATCAAGTCAGAAGTGTGACAGCAGTGATGTCACCGCTTATAATTCTGAAATCAGGAGACACTTCAGTGACTGATGTAGTGAGGCAATGTTACACCGGTTTGTGGCTGACCACAGCTAATTTATTTTGTATTAAAACTGTTTTCACAGTAGAGTAGGTATAACTCACATCAGCTGTATTGTATGCACTCCTCTGGCACTCCTTAGTAAACCTCCAGGAAATCTCTTTGACATCTTGGCACGATCCCCCAGCAAACCGCAGCTGCTGTAGTGCCCTGCTGCCTCTTCTCTCATGTGCTGATGACCTGTGCGATTGCTTCACTTGTATTTTTTCTCATTGTTGGATTGTCAAGGATTGAAACAAGACTGACATGGCTAGAATGGGGAAGAAGTTATTTTCTAAGAAAAATTCAGATTTATAATGTTTACTCTCCTTTATTCTGAACCACATTCTGATTCCATTATTACAGTCCACAGCAGATCTTAGAGGGATCCTGTTGTTCAGGGATTGTGCAACCATCTAGTTATGGGGTAGTCCCTGCACCGGGAAGGTTTGTAAGCCAATTAGTCAGGACATACAAAGGTAGGAAACAAAAGTACAGTCTTGTCCAAGGACATCCAGCAGGTCCAGGGTAAAACCAATTGTTGAGGTCAGGTTTCCCCTTCCAGTGTCTAGTCCAGTGGGCAGTAGTCCAGTTCTGTTGATATGCATGATTTTGGGGGGAGAAGCAGCTGCATATAGCAGATCTGAATATAATTATTATGAGCAAATAACCTGGCCATTACAGGAATATTTTCCTTGCTCTGAAACAAAACACTAAAACATACACAAGTATAGGACAACTTTGATGCAAATACCTATGTAAGGTATTTTTGCCACTTTTGGCTTTTAAAGTAAAAGCAAAGACAAAACTCTTCCTTTATGGTAGGCACAGCACCACCCGTAGCACATTGTGCTCTCCACAGCCAAGTGCTGCTCAGAGCTTCACACACGCGGTTGGGTGCTGCCGTAGGCTTGCTGTGTGTGCGCCAGTGGCATGTGCACGGCAGAAAATGGCAAATGCAAACATATGCTTGTGCATTGAGACAATTGTGCGTGACTTGGTGACAAACTTGTGCTTATTAACAAGGATCTGAATCATCCTGTTGTAGTAAAGCTTCGATAAGAGGAAATGGGCAAGGTTCTGTCATGGGCGTTTACTGACCCCTGTGAAGGTGCCTTTTGTGTTGCTTTTTTGTGGAGTTGGGTAGAGTCCAATCTTTGTGCTTAGTAAAAGCCTTCATTTGGCTCTTTGACAGTGGTATGAGACAACAGGCTTGTCAGAAGGGTGGAGTAAAGGTCAGGAGGTGGTAACTTCTGCAGCGGCTGTGGAAAGGCTCACGGGCGTTCACCTGTAAGCAGGTACTTGGAAGTGTCCCACTGAGGTTTTACTACCGTGCAAGTGTTGGAGTGCTCAGTGCTCCTAGCACTAAGCACTAATTGGCAATGATACTGCATTGCACTTAAATTAATTTTTCTAAAAATTGTTTGTTGAAATGTAAGGCAATTATTTTAATGTTGGAAATCCACTCAAGCAATGAAGGTAGATTGTTGGTCAGTGCTTATTCTATGCAAGTGAAAACATCATTTGTATGCAAACAGGTGCTGCTATTGTGAATTCTCAGTCACTATTACAGTGAAAAGAATTGCTGAGTGTTTGAACTTTAAAGTGTTGTTTGTAATGTTTTAAGTGTGCCAGGCCTGGAAATGTCATTCAGGTCTGGTACCTTGTATTGAAAAAATCAGTAATTTATATTAGTATGTACTTGGAGTTAAAGCCTTATAAATTTCCTTTTTCTTATCATTAGGCATAAGCAACTGAGGACAACACTTGTTGCTGTCCAGAGATGGAAAACAACATAACTACTATCTCTCGTGAAGAGCTTGAAGAACTAAGAGAAGCATTCAGTAAAATAGGTATGTTTTAAATAAGAAAATAATAAGGATGACATTAACATTGTGAAAATGTGTAGGATTTGTGGAAGAAATCTTTATGGATCACTTTGTTTTGACAGGGCCATGTTTTCCTTCTATGTAGCCAGTAATATCTAAGAAAATAATGTTTACATAAACCTCCTTATTTTCACTGAATCTGTGTGTGTTTATTCGCTTCTGTCAGCTTCAGCAATGCTACATTTTCTTGCTAGGCAGTTGCGTTATTTGTGTCAATGGATATGCAGCATGATAGGTCTCAAAATTCACTTTTTGAACTTCTTAAATCTGAAAAAAAAAGTTTGATTAAACATCAATCTTTAAATATTTTCATGTTAGGTTACTGACACTTTGGTTTTGCTTTACTTGCATGCTTTGGTGAGCTAGTAACTTCTCTTTTTGTTTATTGGATCAGATTTTACGTTTTAAGTAAGCTAAACTTGGAGATTTTTTGATCTTATTTTTGTAGCTAGCAGATGTTAATAAATAACTACAATTTTGTATGCTTGACAGAATGTTTGCAGATTAACAGGAGACAGAATGAGTAAGAAATTATATGGCAACTAACTCTTATTTCCAGATTGCAGTACCGTTGTGAATGTCTGCTGCTGAAGTTCACATCTGCTTTATTTCTTGTTTGCTGCAGTTCTGAGGGGGTGATGTGTGACTCTGCAGCTCACCAAAGCAAAAAAAGATATTTGTAATCATTCGTAATGGGGGAACAGGGTCGTTTTAGGCAAGAAGTCTTAAGTGTTAGGAGTCTCCAGCTTGGTAGAGACTATTGGGAAGCAGTGTGTTAGAGATCTGTAAGACCATGTGTAGTATGGAAAAGGTGAAGAAGGAATTACTCAGTTTCTGTCAATACACATATCAGGTGATGCCCAGTAGAGAGTCAGCTTAAAATAAATGTAGTAACTTTTCTTCCTGACAATAATAAAACCATGAATCCATTAACTCAGGATGTTGTTGAGACCAAAAAAGAGTAGAAATGCTAAAAGAATAAGATACATCCATAGAAGGTAATTCATTAGTTGCTATTAAACAACCATCTTGACACAGTTTGTAGCTCAAGAAGTCTATAACCTGCAGGAGCTGGAAAGACAGGCAAAAGAAAAGAGCATTGCTTACACATATCAATCTACTGGGAGGTGTTAAGATAGGTAGGTACTCCCTGGTGTTGTCCAACAGCTTTTTTATTTGTGTGGTATTCACCATCTGCATTCCTTCTTTTTCTCCCTTTCCTTCCTGTGTGTTTTCACATTTCTGCTCCAAGAATTGCTTGTGCTGCTTCTACTCACTGAAAAGCATTTTCTTTCTTACTGTATTATACTTTCTGTAACATACAAAAATTAAGCATCATTTAGCTTTTTTCTTTTCTCATTTTTACATTTCCGATGTCTCTATGGATAAATTGCTTACAGCCATATTGGTAAACTGAGAGAAAAGGCACGTATTTGACTCTCTGCTTGTCATCATGGAAACTTACCCTCAGTGAAAGATGAACCTAGAGAAATAAAATAGCTGGTAATCTGAGTGAGCTCCTGAGCATGTCCTCTGCTTTTTAGACCATCCTTGCTATTATGTGTGTTGTTACATGTCTGCAAGCCAGACAGTGGATGGATTAATACGTATGCAGGCATTAAGTTTGTCTGTAGTGATTTGTGGATTGTTGGTAGCATTGAAAACACACACAAAAATATCTTTTTGAACAGGTGTTTTTAACCTTTCATCAGCGGTGAACTGTGGCCTTCTTATGAAACTGTACGGAAGCTACATAGTGTAGTATGGATTACAGGGAAATTACTGTATAGCAATCAATTATGGCGAGAGATGAAAGCATGTTTCTCTGTTTGCCCTTCTCTGATTTGATTGTGTATTCGTCCACTCTAGTATTATTGGCTGAGCTCTGATACTAGAGACAATATGAGGAGAAGCCTTTTAACTAGTAAACCAAAAAATCAAAAGCGGCAGCACCTTGAAAAGTCAGAAAAGTGGCCACGTCATCTCACTTTTTTTTCTGACTTGTGTTATTTGTGACGTTCTCTTAAGTCACTTGTCTTAGATGTATCATTTGTAGAACTGGGAAAATACTATTAATTCATATTTTTCAAGAGCTTTAATAGGATCGTGACAGAGACTGAAATTGTTGTCAGACATGGAAAACATTAGCATTAAATATATAAAATGATCAGCATTATATTCAGCACTAGTTATGCTGGATACGATTTATTGTATTTGATTGAGCTTCACCTGTAGTGTATATGGACTATAGTTTTTCTTCTTTTAAAAGTGCATCTCTCCATTGCATAGACATTGCACTACAGCTACAGGTAAGGCTATTTTAATGGACATTCTTAAATTCTGCTTGGATAGATATGTTTATACTTATATAAGGAAATAGACATAAAAAAATGGAACAGTTAATGTGTTTGATTCATTTATGCATTACATTGGACAACAACATATTAGGTTTGTGAAATTGTGCTTTGTTATATTAAGACAAGAATTCAAGATGGCTTTCTGCACACAGATTGGCCTAAGGTGGAAGTATGAAGGGGGTTTATATGATTTCTTCTGTGCTGCTGCATTATTCATCATGAGTAGTGCAAACTATACTGAATTTGTCTTAATCTATTTTTATGTGACATAGCCATTCATTTCTTTCCACAGTTGTGGAATTATACCATATCTCATGTTGGAAAAAGCATTCTCATACTTTGCTGTACATGTGGTCTTGGTAGCCAAGTGTAGGTGAAGGTGGCAGTGCAGAGTGCTCCCAATGGAGCTGATTAATAGATTAAGGAAGGTCACCTTTAATAAACAGATACAGATCATCCCAGATTTATTCTTCACAGGTAAGCCTAACCACATCAAAACTTTCGAAGAACAGAAAATGTCTATCAGATACTAATATAAGAAACAAAAGGCAGAGTCAGGTAGAGTTCTTGTGTAAGTAGTTTTTCCTGTGTAAGTGTGCTCTTCTAATAAGAACTTGGATCAGAGTTTACTGATTGCAGATGTTACAATATTGACAATAAGAATATAATAATTGATCTCCCTTTTACTCGAAGATTTATATAGAAGTCTGTTGAGTCTTTAAAAAAAGCTCAAACTTTACTATTTACATATTTGCCATCTTGTTATAGCTGTGCTGTGGGATTATAAAATAATTCCTGAGAAAATACATAACAAGATGGCACAACTCCTACCCAGTTGTGCCTCTAATTTGCAACTGTTCCTTCATGCTTGCTTATCTATGTCAGAAGAACAAACACTCATCTCCTAGAACTGTATTTCTCAGAGTTTATTCTCAGCAGGTACTGTACTTGGTTCTTTACATAAATATAAAAACAACTTGTGCTTTCATTTTACAGATATAGACAACAGCGGCTATGTCAGTGATTATGAGCTTCAAGACCTGTTTAAAGAAGCAAGTCTGCCCCTGCCTGGTTACAAAGTCCGGGAGATTGTAGAAAAAATCATTGCAGTGACAGATAGCAACAAGGACGGGAGAATCAACTTTGAAGAATTTGTCTCAGTAAGACATTCCCCTTGGATGTTTCTCTACTGTCTGATATCTGTTGAGAACTAGGACAGAAAACTGAATTAAGTGGTACAACTAATTACTATTTAGATAGAAATAACTAATATTTTGAGAAGGGGAAAGTTTTCTGTGACAATTTACAATATCCTTTATGATTATTTTCCGGTCTTTATATTTCACTTATTTAATTTAGCAGATTTGTGAGAGCAAAGTAGTTTCAATCAGTCCTACTTTCTATTTCCTCAAAGATGAGGGGATGCACTACATATTTTAGGAACTGTTGGGTCAGCCCTTGCCCTGACAAAAGAGTCAATAATTAGATACCAGCCTCTGAATTCTCTTAGTGATAAACCAATGCTTGCATTACTATGCTTAATCTCTATAGTAAAGGCTATTTTTTTTACTGGGAGTGAGGTACAGTTTTTCATTTTTAGTGAATAAATTTGAAAGATTTAGACCTTTTAAATGTGGATTATTGGTCAGTGTGCTTTATTTAAGAGAAGCAAAAACTTTTCAGGCTGCCAGTTTGTGTGTGTGTTTGGAGATGATTATTTTTTGCTTTGAATTTAGAGTACTGCTGCTAATGACAGCATGTTCCTTGTTGGAGTAGTTACTGATCTTTCTTTCCATGATTGTAATTTGCAGTGGTTCATAGGTGAGATGGAAATATTTGCATTCAGGTATTGATCTGTATCCGTTATTTATACTTTGTTGTCAGTTTTGAGACATCTACAGTATTTGAGCAAATTTAGGACATTTCAGTATATCCAATGTGGTTTACATTGCAGGCAGGTGAAAAATGCTATCAGCTTGCTTAAGCGTATGTGTAACTGTCATGTAATAACTTTTTACTCTAAAGCATGTGATGAAGTGGAAGAAACATGCTGTAGTCATTGCAAATGTGTAATGTCTTTTGTTGTATTCTTCAGTTTACCAAAATATCTGTGGAAAATTTGTATGGGTTGTTGGATATCTACTTTTCTTAGATAGCATGGCTTAATAAAGGTAGCACTTGAGGTACTCACTGAAAAATAATATATTAGATATCAAGTATGCAAGTGTCATTAAGGGGTTTAAATTAGTTTTACCCATAGAGTAAACTTTTTTTTTTTTTGTTTAGAACAGAAGTCAGTGGAAATACCAGAGAAAGGCGGTCAGGTTAATTACTGACTCTGGAGTACTTACGTGAGTTAACACTTAGATATTTGAAGGTATGATAAATCACAAAGTGCTGTCTGTTTTTATTTTTTTTAATTCCAGATAATTCAGGAATTGAAAAGTAAAGAAGTTAGCAAATCTTTCCGAAAAACAATAAACAAAAAGCAAGGTATTACAGCAATTGGAGGTACATCAGCAATATCTAGTGAGGGGACACAGCACTCTTATTCAGGTAAGAATAAAACACGAGCAAATTTTCCATGGAGGAAGGCTCTTTAAATTTGAACTACAGATGAAGTAAAAACAACTGGAAAATGTTGCTATTGAAAGCAAATTAACACAGAGAAAGCATGTGGAGTTGTATAAGATAAGTGTTGGTGGTAGTTCATTGAAATGTGGGCTGTTAGTTGTTGCTAGTTTCATGCTGCACTCAGAGGTAAGTTAGACATCTTTGCAAGAGCAAAAAAAATGAAAACAAGGGCTGACAGCATGGTATTTAGCATACTTCTAGTAATTTTGGTTTCATTACATGCTAATTTTCTCTTATTCTTATATTCAGATAAAAGTGAATCACCATTTTCATTCCCACAGTGTTAACTAAAATGGAAAAAAAACCCCAAAACACCAACCAACCAAACAAAAAACACATCGCATATCCTTTCTGGATGGAAAGGCCTCCTCAGCTGTCTCTGTGCCGTTACAGCATTGTTCACTCTCATATGGTTTTTGCATAGCCTATCTCATACTTGAGAGGTTGCTTTTAATATTTGATGTCTGTTTCTTTCTGCTTCATGTCGTTTAAGTTGGTAATTGTGCCTAACTGCATTGCAGCTCCTGGTCAGAATGTTAACCACCTAGGATCGTATTGCAATAAGCAATATTGCAACTTTTTGATTGACTCGAGTCTGGGATTTGCTGTGGTTCCAGAAGCACGTTAAGATTCTAAATATGCAGAAGTTTCACTCCAGTTAGCTAAAGGTGGTGATACCCTCTCTCTGTGTACTATCTTTATAGCAGCAGCTGCAGTTGGTATATCTCCAAAACAGGGGATATGTTCCATCTCAAAGGATGCCTGAAGGGGGGACACCATCAGAGCTAATTGTTTAGACTCCCTTTCATTTTTGGTGGAGAGAAACTGACTCCACTGGAGTGTAATTCCTCTGAACTGGCCTCATCAGCCATCTAGTTTGAGATTAAGCACGCACTAGAATGTCATGTTTCTTCCCACTGACAATGAAAGAAGTGTAAAGAGTCAGGTGTAGATACCTGTCTTGTATGCTTCTTGAGGTAAGTGACGTGAATTCCCAGTACTGTCTGGGAATTTGGATACTGCTACTTCATTGACTTGTCCCAATAAGCATTTGTAGATACACAGTAATAAATTCTGCACTAAATATGAAGGAGAATTTAAAACGGAAGTACTAAATTTTTTAAGTTTCTCAAAGCTAAATACAGCACAGTAATTCAGGCAATAGTCTCAAAAATGCTGCCAGTCCCTGAAGTCCTAGTGGAAAGCAGAATGAAATGCTGTATTTTAAACCAATGGTGCATAGATTAAGAAGTTGCACATTTCAGATCAGAAATTTCCCTCTTTCCATTGTAATTGCTGAGCAACTGAATTCCAAGTCAGCCATCATGACCCATTATGTCACTACGATTATGTTGTCCTTCAGAAAATCACCAGATGTTTAGAGGGTGCAGTAGGGGAAAGATCAATCTGTACTTGCCACTTTTTGCGTGCTTTCCTACTGGGCTGCTTCTTTTTGTAACTGGCCCTTGTGAAACTAAGGGGTTTTGTTGCAGATTAACCTCTTTGACCCAGGTCTAGTGTTTAGTAGTATGTCTTCGTGGAAATGATAATATATTATTTTAATGCTGTTTTTCTTTTCAGAGGAAGAAAAAGTTGCTTTTGTTAATTGGATAAATAAAGCTCTACAAGATGACCCAGACTGTAAGCACCTCCTACCTATGAACCCATCAGATGCCAGTCTTTTTAAATCCCTTGCAGATGGTATCCTTCTTTGGTGAGTCCAGGGCTGTGAGAAAGAAAAGAAATTAATCTCAAAGGTTAAATGTTGATCACAGTGACATGAATGGGAAAACATCTGATAGGCTTTAGTGTCAGGACTCCCCTCTTAAATATTTCAACCAATGTGTACCATGGGGAAAATCTGTTTGTCCACAGAAATGTTATTTTTAGCAATTTTTTTTATGTGACTCAGTGCATATATCGTAGAAGTGGGTTTCCCTCTTGGATCCATAATTATACATGTCAGGTGTGTGGAGGCTGTTTATTAAGAAGATAATTACACAGTTCATATAGTCATTACTGAAGTAATTAGAAATCTTTGCTATTTCAAATATTTTCAGGATTTACTAAATGTAGTTACTAAGTCATAGGATAGGAGGAACAGAAATTTGATTTAAATCCATGGCAAAACAAAGAGCATATAGTAGATCACTTAACTTCAGTCTGTTGTAATTTTCTAGTTAGTTAAAGTAGACCAATAGTACTTATTCATACACCATGGTAACAAGGGATTAGCTTATTAGTGTTGATGTGAATTAGTCTTTGAGATCCTTATAGGTGCAAGATACTCCAGAAATGCAGGGCAGAAATATATTGGTTATGGTACAAAGATTTTCACTTGAAACTATTTAACCGTCTTTAGATTACAGTTTTAATCTTCCCAAGTACTCTTCTTGACAGCACAGACATGCTCTGTTACTTAAGTATGAAACCCAATTGCTCAAGTTTCTTGTAATTATGTATTATCTGGAGGTTTCTGGATACATGTGCAATTATTTAACAGGGAGAGGAGATGTAGAGGATGAGGTGGTTTTTTTTTAATCTTGTCAGAAATATTTACAGCTAGTTCAAAGTGTTAGGTGTTTATAATCAAATAATATATTTTATGAGAAATTAAAGTTTGAATAATCTCTGACTTTTCTTTGTTAGCAAAATGATAAACTTTTCCCAACCAGATACAATTGATGAAAGGGCTATTAATAAGAAGAAACTCACTCCTTTCACGATTTCTGTAAGTACTGCACAGATAGGAACCTGCCACAAATGAAAAAGTAAAATATGTTTCTATAGCTTTGTTTTAATGACAGTTCTCCTGGTGGAGCAAAAAAAAGTACTATGTATTAAAAAAGTCAAAGCATAAAATTGTATTTTCTAATAAGCTCTGCTGAATTCTCTGTTTGTTAGATGATGTACAGGAAAACTTGTATTTTTCATGCTTTTGTTC